AAGTCGTTCACTCCGATGTAGTGTAACGGCTAGCACGGTCCGCTTTCACCGGGCAAACCGGGGTTCGACTCCCCGCATCGGAAAACCAATTTTTTTGCATTTCTTACGTAAGCAAAAATATACGGAAATTTGCGGCCATATATAGTAATTATTTTTTTCTTTCTTTTTTGAAAGATCATGGATCTATTCGTTATAATTTATATATATTCTGATTATTAGGAGGTGTTTAAGATTTTAATGTTATGTCTCTCACAGAATTGTATATATCTTTTCAGAAGCTTATTGCAACCCCCATATCAGGTTATCAAGAATCAAGTTATTAACCACCTTGTTCAGCAGCTATTATTACAAAAGGAAACTTTTAAATTAATGTATTGTTACTTGTGAGGTTCTATTTGGATGCTACCTAATGACAAAACTGAGAAGATTCTCAGTCTTGTTAATCAACATTGGGGCTCAATTGTAATAATATTCCAAAAGTTATATAACTATATATGGAATCATAAATTGAAGAGCAATCAATTTCAAATTAATAGAAAAGTTAATGCACTAGGTGCTGAACATTCTTAGAGTTCTTGAGTGATAACTCATGATCAATCTGGCCTCATGTTTATGCAGATGAAGTAAAACAAAGATATGTTGTAGTTATTTATAATTATCTATCCGGGATTATTAAAGTTAATGAGCTGTTAAAATCGAAAATTCACATATTGTAAAGAATAAATTAAACCTTTAAAAATGAGCTTGATAAAAGTTCTTTGAAGATTAACGTTATTTAATATTAAAGAGATGTCATTGGATCTACTCATCTCTCAATCTTGTGAGCTTCAATGATCGATCAATTTCAACATGTATCCTCATCTACCCAATATACTTTTGTAAGAAAATATTGTATATTCAATTTGATATGAATCATGTAGAGTAAGTTTTTTCAACGTCTAACAAATGTATTCATTCCAATTTGAATTAAATTTCAAAAAAGTTGTTACAAATTCAATTTGATATGAATCATGTAAAGTAAGTTTTTATAATATCAAGCAACACGATCTGACAGAATCAAAAGTCCAATTTATTCTTAAATACCATCAACATCAGGATTAGCTGATTCTTGGAAAGACTTTATTAACCATTATATCATCATAAAAAATGAAGAGTTCTAATTTGAATTAAATGTCAATAAGTTATGACTTCGTTCAATAAATCATAGTAAATAATTAGATTTTATAACTCCCAGCCAAATCTAATGTTGGCCTTGTACAAGACCATAATGATTCTAGAAACACCGCAACTTTCAACTTCCCATCTAAAAAAAGAGATACGATCTAAATTTCGCATATGTATTAAACAAGGCATTTTTAAGGAATTTTGAAGGCTATAACCGTACATTTTTTTACAAGGCTTTGTTACATACTAAATAATTTAACGTTATAAACTGTTTTATATGTACCATGATCCATCAAATTTATGTATAATTTATGTTTAATAGCAAGTACATCAAACATCAGTGGTCAAGCATATTTATGTAATGTAATGTTGTGTATTTGTATGGTAAACTATATCTTGATCTTTGATCTTCTGGGTAATCAAAGTGATACATTTGTGATTTATCTTATCCTTAAATTATTCCTTCACTAATAACATAGTTCTATGTTTTGTTATCTTTGAGCTTTGAAGTGGTGTAAAGTTGTAGAAAAACAGTCACATTTTGAAAATTTTTACCTTTTTGTTGGGTTTGTTTACTTTCTTGCCTAACGCCACCCAATCTCTGCCTAGGTTTTATCTTCCTCTGCCTAACTTTATCCTCCTCTGCCTACCTGCCCAGTGTTCAAATCTACTGTTAAAAGTTTTGGATCGCCACTGCCTAAAATCCCATAAGTCCTGTCCGCCTATCCTTAAATTCTAATCCTTCTCTGCCTAAACTTCCTGTCTAAGAACATTCCAACTTCTGCCCGTTCTGCCTGTAAACTCTACCTGATTTCCTGTCCAGTGGACCGTGGCCTGCCCAGCTGCTGCCTGCACACGCACAACCGTTAAAATCTTGATCAAACTCAAATCTGATCAGATCTAAAGTTTATGTACATATACATGTTTTATACTTCATGTCTAATCTTACATGAAGCTCTAAAAAAAATTATATTCAAATTATTACTTCTATATTAAATTATCAATTATATGAATATATTAGCTATAAACAATAGTTCTATAATACAAATATATAAACCATTTTCTTTCCTTTTCTTTAAGATAACTCATGAATCTTTGTATTATAATTATTATTAAATAAAAAAATCATTATCATTCAAGCTGTACATATAGTATAAAAGTGGTTATAATCTTTTTTTATTTTTAAAATTCTTTTCTAATCTTTTATTATTTTTTTATTTTATCTTTTCAAATTAATTATATTCATTCTTTAATTATTATACAGATCTCTTATCTTCTTTCTCTAATAATACAAAATTAAACAACAACAACAACAACACAAATTCAAATTTAAATTCATATGCAAAAATTCATAAACATTTCTTATCTCTCTCTCTACACTGACGTCCCGGATGCTCGTTTTTTTGTATGAGAGCTTAACTATGGGACTGGCACTAACGATTTTTCACAACCTATTCTTGCATATATTGGGACTAGGTCTAAGTGCTTATTAATACTGATCCCGATCTGGGTCCTAGGCGCGGCCAGATGCCGGGGCTCGGGACTTAGACCCAAATTTCAAATCCATCGTTTTTATCGGAATTATTCGGTATTCGAATTTTGCGGATTTTTGATGGATCGGTCTACATATAATAATTACCGATTTGGTCCTACGATTCTAGAACTAAAACTAGAGTTCTAAATATTTTTGTATTGAACCAATTGATCATGACTTAAATATTGCAAGCCAATGCATTATCTGTTGTATTAGAGTAATGATATTTATAATAGTATGAAGAGTATACTATCCAGCAACTATTATCATACTGGCCACCTGTACTATGTGTAAATTATAATAGTTAGTATAATTATACCTTTGAATAAAACCAATACAATATGATCAGAGCTAATCAACAATGATTAATTTAATTGATCTTATTGCAAGCAGCACTTTGCTGTGTAATATAATGATATACTCACCTGAACATGGAATAAAGTGTAGATATTGAATCTCACATATTGGAAAAAGAAAAGTGATCAGGGCTGGTGGCAAATTATAAAAAGTACTATTATATTCGAATGTTCAAAAACTGCCCTTAAAATTCACCCTGGTATATATGATCCTAAAGCTGAATAATTTATGAGTAGACGCTTGATTGTGACTTGGCCTGTGTTGCTTTGTTAGTATCAATCTTGGAACAAAAGTTTTAATTCACAAAAAAAATGAAGAGCATTAATCGTGATAAACTCACCAACCACATAATTGCTGAAGTTGTTTGTTGATTCATATCATGGATCTAGTCATTGAGTTAAATCTAAACTTGCTAATAAAATGATCATATGATCATTCTTTATAAATTTGAAATTAAAGTCAATGAAAAGTAGAGAAGATAAAAAAAGCAGGAAATCCTGGTCTTTATATATTATTTTCTGCGCCACTGTCTAATAGTGACCAAACCAATTATCTTTAAATTATAATTATTATTTCTTGATCATGAATTGTACTAATATTTACAAACGTACTATTTAGCAAGACAGCGTACTATATTATATAGTAATACCTTGCATGTCGTGATAATATAAATTAATTGAAGGGCCGGGTGTAAACGTATACAGTTTATATTACGCATTATATTATAATGCGGTACCACAAATGGAATATATAAATTAACATTTACTCCAAAACTCATGAATTGTAAATCTACTTAATTCTTTATTCCATCGAAGAAATAAGCCAAGAGGAACTTCATGGACTGTTTTATAATATAGAAGACAACACAAAAAAGGTATCATTGAAGAAGTTTCCAAAAAACGTTATAAAAATCAAAGAACTGACGTTGTCGATATTGCTTCTTATAAATTATGAGATTAACAAAAGACAGACGTCGTGCAGGTCAAAAATTAGCTGATATTTCAGAAAAGCTCAAAGAAAAAGTGCTATATATTAGAGTGCTATATATTAGAGCTGATAAAGGTAAAATGAAGCAGCAGCAGCTTCAATATACATCATTTTATAATATGTTAAACTTAATATTTATATAAATAAAATCATATTGATATATGTATTGTACACTTATATAGTACTATTTCATGAAAATTCAATTTATAATTTTATAATTTATATATACAATATTGTTAATCTGATCACAATATATTGTATAATTACATATAATTAAAAAAATATCAACATGACGTGCATGGCCCGACCAATCTGCTAATCATCATTATCATCATCAGACTTATTTGAACTGGAATAACTATCCGATAATATATTGTTATCAGTATTTTCATCATAATCTAAATAACAAACTTGCTGATCATCATAAGATTCAGTCTCTTTATCCAATCTATCTTCCAACCCATTAATATTTTCCTCTTCTACCCTAGTTTCAAACTCATAAGTTATTAAACCATCGACTTCCACAATAGTTTTATCTGAAACATTTAATTTATAGTATTCCAGTAATAATTTTTTACTTTTTGAAAGATCTAATATACTTTGATGTGTAAAATAAAACTTTGTGTTCAAAAGGTTATCAGAAGAAATTGTAATTTCCGCTGGCTCATTGCAGATAATTTTATTGACATCTATAGCTTTCAAGTTTTCTTTTTTATGAAAACTTTCTAAAGGCTTTGAAAGCTTGAATAGTATTGGGAAGTTCATACCTTTTCCACGGATGACATCAATATCTAACTGATATCCAATAATATAATCCTTAGTTATTGTGATATTTTTATTTTTTATTTTTCCTGAAATTCTAAAGATTTGTGAAATTTGGTAAAAGTTTAGATCATTATCAATAATAATTGATTTTTCCTTCGTTCTTATATGTTTGAATGATGGAAAAATTTCAGCAGTATTTGGTTGTGGATAGATTGGGGCTGAATTTATTTCAAATTTAGTGATTGTTCTTGTTGCACAAAATTTTTCAAATGATTTAACAATTTTACTTAAAATGATTGCCACAACTTTTTGAAGACTTCTAATCTTTAAAGCTGCATGATTGCCAATTGTTTCATCAAGATCCAGTCTTCTGTTTGATATCAAATTATCAGCATTAACCATCTCAATATCTTTAAGCTTGCTCATTAAATGTTTCTGGTCTTCAATATTTAGTTGATTCAAAAAAAACTCTTTCAAAGGTTTATTCAAAAATATTGTGTTACTCCAAAAGTTTTCAAATTTATAATCTATAAATTCCATCTTTCTTCTTTTGCAACTATTGAACTGCGATGATTGATCTGTATTAAAAGCATCTGCATCACCATTAACAATACCAGCTTCAGCACCTGCAGCGTTCATATCATAACCAGAATTAATTAAATTACAAGGTTTCATGTAACTATTATTATCACCTAAAATGACGTTTTTAATCCTCAACAAATCTTTTGATCCATAAAACCCATTGTCATTAGTACTTGGAGCAGCAGGATTCTCATCTGAAAATAAATTCAGTTGATTATGTACTAAACCTGTTAACACAGTTTTCAAAACCAATTTATTAGAGACATGTTCAGCTGTATACTGATGTGAATGATTATTTCTCTTCAGTGAACCAACACTACGTTCTGTAGCAAATCCTGAAAACACTGACATATTTCCTAGATCTCTTATTTGATCTATGATGTGATTGTAAAGGTAATGTAAATATAACGAAGACATTTGATTTGTATAGCTGTTGACTGTGGATCCATCAATACCAAAAGTGATTTGATAGCATTCAACAAATGAACTAACACTTTTTTCAAGATCTCCTAAAATTGATTCTGTCAAAAGTTGATGAGAATTTATAATTTGGCCAATTTCTATATATCTTGATACTATTTCAGTAAATTGTGACAATTCTGATTCAGATAATTGATCTTTCAAAGGACATTTTTCATCATGTAGGACCACCAAAAGCAAGAATATCAAACTGTTCTGTTGATCACCTGTTACATAAGGAATGGACCCGTTATTAGATGAAGCAGCATTGCAAAAATCTAACAAGTTTGGAGCTGCATGTGAACCACAACTTGAACTTCTAGCAGACCACTTACCAAAGTTGTATCTTGACCCCAAAACAAAAGGGTTTAATTTGAATTTTTCTAAATTTGATTTTCTTGAGGATCTTAAAAAACTAGAATTGTCATTGACAGTTGATTTTTTTGAAGGCCAGAACACTAAGTTTGTGAATTTCCTTGAAAGATTTTCGTTAAATAGATGAAAAGTATCTAAAATCAAAATGTTGTCTACCCCATTATTTCTATAATCCAGTGGTTCACCTGCCAAATCGTAACCAAATAATTTTAAAAGACCAGCATCATGTTGAAGATTAGATTTCAACTTTTGGTTTTTTCTTGGTAAACGTTTAAGTTCTTCTTGATTATAAATATAGTTCTTTTCTTTTTTTGTGTTTAACACTTTCATACGTGATTTGATGTATGAATGTGATTCTTCTAATTCAACATGTGGGTCATTATCCATAACCTCCAATAGTAAGTTATTCACCGAATCAACTTTGTTGATTGGACAATGTGAACAGGGCTGATTTGCACTCAATGTAGTTGAACTTGTGAAGTGATGTATCCCTTGAAGATCAGCACCCAAGCCATGGTTAAAAACCTGAAGTATCATTTTATTTTCATAAAATTCATCTCTTGCTCTGATCACCTTCATCTTATCATTTGATAATTCAACATTTGGACTTGATAATGAATATGTATGACATTTATCGAAAAAAATTCCCTCAATTTCAGACTGTTTCAATTCATCTCTAATATATCTAAGAGCTATTTCCCTACTTGAAACCATCAAGCTTTCCGCTTCACTGTACGTAAAGTTATAGTTTATCTTTTGTCCTTCATTACTAACTAATTCATATGATCCAGTACTTGTTGTGCTCTTCTTAAATTGAGGCATTATACCCAAGGTGAATGTAGGGTGTGTAACTATATCTAGCAGCTTTAGGTCTAAATTCCAAATACTTAAATTCTTCTTGTTCATTGAAATACCGTCTGAAGATAAAGATGTATGACACCATATATGCTTAAAACCATCCCTTTCTCTCTCTTCATCAAAGTATTTGAAGGATTCATCATTTAAATCAACTGGAGTATCTTTTAATTTATCTATTAAACTATTGTTTTTCACTGAAAGTATATCATTTTCATGCAAAATCTTGAAATAACTTTCACTTTCTTTTAAAGTAGTATCATACCACGTTGATTCATAAAGCAATACCAGAACGAATTTTGGATTCAATATACCATATCTATTTGAACTATGGCTTAGTGAATAACATGTTGGTCTCTTGCCACAGTAAGTACATTGGTTTAATACATTTGCCTGAACTGATGCATTAGAATATTCTTCATCAATATTTATTGGGTTTTTAGTCATATCCTCATTGTTGTTTCCAGTATGAGAGGTATTATCAGAACTAATGATGTAACCTTTATAGCAGGAGGTGCATATGATAATCTCATTATATAATTTGAGATGTAATAGAAGTTTTTTTATTATATGGAGTAATCTTTTTATTGGTCTATGATCTGAGTTTTTAAACTTGACTTCAGCTCTTCTAATTCTAGCATACTGTTTCACAAACTGACTTTCAGTGTTTATTTTGGAGCAGCTTTGGCCATCTTTGATCTTTTCACCGTAAACAAGAGATTTTCTAAACTCTTCGACTTCATCATCTGTAAATTTTGAATTATTTTTTATATTCAAACCAAACATGACTTTGTAATAAGCATAGAGTATATCTAAAGGTGAATCAGTTGCAATCAACCTGTGCATATTTCCACTCTGTAGCATTCTTAGCGACAACTCATTCATTTTAAGATCGGCTGATTCTGTATTGGAAGTTTTTGATTCACTCCAACCAATGGCTTCTAATATAAAATTCAACAATTCACCTTTCTTTAATTCATCTTGTGGTATGAGTAATTGTAAAAATTTTAGGCATAAACTGGCAGAATTTCTACCATCTGTAGAAAATTCATATGCTTCTTGGTATGTGTTTATCTCTAAATGTGGATTGGATGTGGTATCATTCATTGATTCATCATGTTCAGGTGGATCATCTATGGGATCTTCAATTGGAACAGGGCTTGGTAGATTTTCCCAGCTTTCAATACTTCCTGGGCTACCTGAATCATCAGCATTGAAAGAGTAATTTTTCTGATTTTTTTCCAAAAGTTGATTTACATCTTCATCTGTGGAGGACCATAACTCTCTTGGTAGCATCTGATCAGCTGTACATCCCTTATTGAATATTGATGGATTTTTTCTATAAGTTTGAACAATTATGAAGTCCATAAGAATATTTGGTATACGGTGACTTTGCTGCTCTGTACGTATTTTAGAACAGTTTTCTGTTGATGAATGGTAAATACCATTGGTACTCACTCGTTGCCCAAAGAAGTCAGCTCCACCAATTCTAATAAGTTCAAAAAGTCTTTCATCAACGTTTTCACCTACCTTTAGAATTTTTAAAACTTTCTTGAAAACATTCACCACCATGAATCTTGAATCATGTTCCAATTTTTGGTCTATATCAGCTGTAAATAAATCAATTCTTTTTGATTGAACATTACCAATGATTCCCAAGTAAGGAGAAACCTCATAATCTGAACCGAATAACTTTAGGAATTTCTTATTTTTTTTACCTGGTTCAGTCGAAACATATGATAAATCTGACGTATTTAAGTATAACTTGGCTGATTGATCCCCGTCATCTGGTAAGCAAAATGGTGTTCTCATACTTTCTAAACAATTATTGAAACTTTCAAAGATACCTTTTTCATAGTTTAGATTAATCTGGGTTTTTTCAGAACAAAAGTTGCTTTGCCCTTTTAATAAACGACAGGCTCTAGTTTGAATTTGAAAGAAAGACTCTTGAAGCAACAAAAATACAACACTTCTAGCATTTATAAGATTATATCCTTCTAGCTCAAAAAACTGCGGGAACAACTCGATAACATGGTCACAAATTTCAGTTAATTCTGAAGATGAAACAGTACCACCAATAAATTTAGTTGATAACTTGATACCCTTTTCACATATTATTGCCATTGCCGTAAAGTATGTATATTTCTAAGTATTATTTGTTAGAATACTCCAGGTTTATTAAGCGTTTCAATACATGAAATTGATGGTATCAAAACATGCATATTGAGAAAATTTAAAAGTGTATACTTACCTTGAGAATTGTAAAGTTATTTTCATATTGTAAATCAGTAATACAATCATGACCTATAATCTCTTGTATGCCACTAATGGAGCTTGGAAGATTAAGAAGTGGTAAAAGTTGGGTTTGTTTTGGTGAATTCAGGTTTAATATTGTAGAAACAGGGTGGTTCAATGTAACTTGACATCTATCTTTGATTAAAGATCCTATGTTTTGAACTAAAGCTGAACCTGGGTTTATTCTATTGTACCCTAAAATTCGATCAAATAATGCATTTGATCTCATATTGATGGACATCTTGAATATAAATTTTGGAAGTTGATGAATTTATATTATAGTTATGATATGATATAAGTCTTGTTAATGATCTATAATAATGTAATGTAGCTGCAAATATCGACTAGGTCTGGCTTTGATTTTAATTATAATTTAAGCAAGCTGCTGATTTTAATATAGTTGAAACGTGAAAAGCTAGTTCAATCAATTAATTGTACAATTATGGATTAATTTATATCAAAATTCCAAAAGACAACCTAGATTAACAGCAGCAATGCTGACGACGTGAAGTAATTAAAGCTTGAGCAACCATATCCAAAGATCGAGTTGACACAAGCATGATGACCTGTCTATGGCGTGCCTTCAAAACTCGTGTTTTCAAGAATGTAAACAAAAATATAGCAAATATATATGATAACTTCACCATCGACTTTTGTAAATATTCGGCGATCCCAACATGATCTCCGAAGATTGAAAAACGTAAACAAATATAAACTTTGATTTTAGCTGAGCATGTACATTGTATAAGTCCAAAGCATCGCCCGTTGTGAGCTTCGAAGCTTGCTGTTTGTTATTATTGGCATATTGGCATGACGTATATTAGAATGACTGATTCCAAACTCAATAGACTAAAGTTAACTGGTACAATAAACCATGGGGCTTTAATGATTTTTAATTAGTGTACTCTTGACTCTTGAGTCTTAACTAGTAATAATATACCCTACAATAGATTTAGTCTCGATTTTGTCGTGTTGTGGCCAATTTCCGTCTTTGATTTTTAGAATTCGGGCCAAAATTTGGAGGTCTGTCAAAATTTTGTTAGCGATTTCGATTTTTCCATACAAAAAAACGAGCATCCGGGACGTCAGTGCTATATATAATTACTATTATTAATTAATCAATAATTCATTTTTGTTCTTCATTATTTTGATAAGATGGTAAATATCCATATCCAACTTGTGGTAAACCACCAACTTGAATACCATAATTATATCCATAATTTGGTGCTCCTGGTTGTTGTTGAGGTATACCTGGTTGTTGAGGTTGAGGTTGTTGTGTTGTTTGAGTTCCATATTGATATGGATAATATGAAGGATATGAATTATAATAAGCTTGAGTTTGACCAGGTTGTTGAGGTTGAGTTTGAGGTTGAGGTTGTTGAGTTGATGGATTAGTTGTAGTTGTTGAAGTAGGTTGTTGAGGTAAATATTTAGAATCTTGTAAAGATTGATTTGAAATTGAATTTGGTGTTAAATAAGGACTTAATTTTGATGCTTGATTTGAACCAGGTTGTTGTTGACCAGCTTGTTGTTGTTGTTGTTGTTGTTGTTGAGGTTGACCAGCTTGTTGATAAGGAATTGGTTGATAAGAACCAGTTGATGCTGTAGTTGGTGCAGTTGATGGAATACCTGTACTACCACCAGTTAATGATGAAGCTGTAGTAGTTGAAGCACCACCAGCACCACCATACCATTGAGGATTAGTATTTGGTTGAGTAGTTGAACCTTGTTGAATAACTTGTTTAATATCTCTAACAAATAAAGGATATAAAACATCAACAATACCTTCTCTTTGAGCCATTGCTAAAGCACGATCAAATGGAATCCAAACACCTTTTAAATGCATTGAACCAATTTTAACAACATCTCTAATTTTTTCAGATTTTAATATACCATCACGACGTCCTCTTGTCATATGAGCAACATTTAATAATTTAGTACCATTAATCATATTATTATCAGCTCTTCTAACAACAGAAACACCATTTGCATCAACTTGATAACATAAAGTTTTTTCATCTTCCCACATTGTTGTAGTAACTCTTGGTCTTGAACCAACAGGTTGAATTTGTCCTACTGAAGAAGTTGTAACTGGTGTATTTGAACTTGTAGTGGCAGGATAAGGTGGATTTGATTGTAAAGGTGTTGAATTTGAAGTAGTTTGTGCACCAGTTATACCACCAGTTGCAGATGATTGATTTGTTGTATTTAATGAACCTTGTTGAGGAGTTGAATGAACAGAATTTAAATTTTGTTGATAATATTGAGATTGAGGTTGTTGATAATTATAATATCTTTGATAATTAGAATAATCTTGATAAGGATTCAATTGATTATAACCATTTCCTTGTTGACCAGGTTGTTGAGAAGTGGTGGTGGTTGCAGTTGCAGTTGCAGTAGCGTTAGTTGGATTTGGTTGAGAAGGCTGTTGTTGACCGCCAGGTTGTTGACCAATTTGTTGTTGACCAGGCTGTGGTTGTGGCTGTGGTTGCTGCTGTTGCTGTTGTTGATAAGGATATTGGTTTTGGAATTGGAAATTATAAACAGGTTGTTGATAATAATATGGATATTGTTGATTATCATGAGTTGAATCTGTTGTGGCTTGACCATTTGATTGTAAACCTAAAGGATGAGAGATTTGACCAGATGGAACAACAGATGGAGCATTTGATGAGTTTATTGGAGCACCACCATTTGTATTTGTTGATGTTGCATTTGTTGTACCGGTGGTTTGATTACCGGTACTTGAGGTTCCATTTTGATTTGAAGCACCATTACCACCACCATTAGAATTGGTTTGACCATTTGTATTTTGATTTGATTGATATCTATATTGATCATCTTGATTTGAACCAGATTGTTGAGTGGTAGTCAATCCATTATTTGGAGTTGTTGTTGAAGTAGATTGATTGTTTATAATTTTTTGTTGGGTGTTGTTTTGATTTGAATCTAATTGATTTGAATCCAATGATTTAACAGGAGGTAAAGAGGACATTTTTTTTGTTGTAGTTAGACTTTTGAAGAACTAGACTATTTTATTTGACTGATGGATAGGTGGTAACTGGTGATAATGAGATGGTGTTAGTCTTTTGAAGTCTTGATAGTCTGATTAAATGAATGTGAGTCTAAGTAAGGGATAAATAAAAGATTATAGTAAAAAATGGTTGTAAATGTATGAAAATTGGGAAGCCAAAAACGGTTTTGATTTGCATTGGGAAATTTCTGAATTTTTTTGAGGAGGGTAAATTTTGAATTTTATGAAATTATCTGGATTATATAAGCGAACAGCCACAGATTAGGTAAGTGGAATATCACGTGAATATGACGTAATTCAAAAAATAAAATTAAAAAACGCGTCATGAGGGTAACACTTCGCGAATTAATAGTTATATAATCAATGACATAATCAATATTTTTCATTTCCGCGAATTCACAAATGTTTACCTTTCCAAAATTTTAAACGCGTGTACCGCGTAATTAGAGATACCGCGTTTTTTCATTATAATGTATAGACAATTTGAATTTGTTTGAATTTGTTCCTTCTTTTATCAAAAGTAAAAGACCAGAGTATACAACAAAGGTCAACACACAAGTCACCATGTTTAGAAGTTCTAAAAGAAGAACAGCCGGTAGAAAAAATTTTGAACAATCAAATATAGTACATGATGATTCTTATATTTCTAAATTATATTCTTCAAAATTAACATTTTATCAATTACCTCCACAAGGTGAAATCACATTAGATCAATTTGAAATTTGGGCTATTGATAGAATCAAAGTCTTGAATGAAATAGAATCTCAAATCGTTAGAAATAAATCTTATAAAGATATTGAATCTTCAATTTTACCTTTATTACAACAACAATTACCTTTAAATTCATCAAATCCTGAAAAATTGAAACAAGATAGACAAAAAGATTATTATTCACATTTCATCCTAAGATTATGCTTTGCAAGATCTAAAGAATTAAGAGATAAATTTATTAAAAATGAAACAATTTTATTAAAAATTAGATTTCAACAATTATCTCAAAAAGATCAACAATCATTTGTAAAATCTTTAAATTTACCATGGGATTTTATAACTCAAGATGAAAAATCTAAAATATCTGATCAATTATTTAAATCAATTGCACCATCTTTACAATATCAATTACAATTAAATGATGAACATTCCAAAAAACAATTTTTTGATAATGAAAATTTTATAAAATTACCATTTGAACATGTTATTGATCTTGTTTCATCAAGATCTATTTATCTTTATAAAGGGTATGGTTATATACCACAATTCCAACAATTAAAATTAATCACTAATGAATATGAAAAACATTTAATGGATTCTTTATTAACTACTGCACATGCATTCCCTTCATTAGATGAAGATGATAGATTATTACCAATTTTACAACATTTATCAACAAATTCAAATGTTTCTTATCAACCAGATTTTGAATCAAATTCTTCAGATATTACAGCATCATCTATTTATTCTAAAAAAATTCAAGAAAATCTCCCACTTTGTGGTTCACAATTGATGCAAGGTTTACATTCCACAGGTCATTTAAAATATATTGCAAGACAACAATTTACATTATTTTTAAAAGGTATTGGATTAAATTTAGATCAAGCTTTAGAATTTTGGCAAAATGAATTTTCAAAATCAATGTCACAAGATAAATTTCAAAAAGAATATTCTTATAATATAAGACATTCTTATGGTAAAGAAGGTTCAAGAGTTAATTATAAACCATGGGATTGTCGTACTATTTTATCCAAACCACGTCCTGCAAAAGGTGAATTTCATGGTTGTCCTTATAGAGATTTATCAACTGATGTATTAACATCAAAATTAGGTAATATGGGATTAGAAAATAAAGATATTATGGATATTGTAGAAATTTCAACAAAAGGTGAATTTACAAATGCTTGTACTAAAGTTTTGGAATTGAAAAGTGGTATTAATGAAGTTGTTGTTCATCCTAATTTATATTTTGATAGAATGAGACAAGCTCAAAAGGCAGAATAATGATTAAATAACTAATAGTTTATGGTGTTTTGTTTTTGTACATTAGTGTATATTATATATTTATATAAAGGATTTTGGAAACAGTAATCATTGTAACCACAAGTAATCATAAAATACTAAACATACATATCAAGCGGATATAGAGATGAATCAAACGATAAGAATTATTACTAGGCATATGTCAAAACATAATTAGTTTATATTAGTCTATACAATAATTTATATTTTTGGGAATTCAGATAATTTAGTCCATTTAAATAAAGATTCATTTGGATTAATAATTTCCTTTTCATTATCACCTTCAACAATTGTACCTTTACCTTCACCAGCAATTAAAATAGCAGCTAAATATTGAAAAAAATCATCTGGATTAAATCCATCTTTATTATATTTATCAACAACATTTTGTAAAAATTCTTGATCTGATTTAAATTCTTTAGTTAATTTAACATTATAATCTTGTTCATATTTGGTAAGTAAATCTTCAACAGTGATATTATCAGAATAAATTCTAATTTTGTTTGGTAACTTGGAATAATCATTAGAAGTAACAACAGAAGCAATAGATTTACCAATATCAGTTAAAGTTGATGGATTAACTGATGTTTTACCATCACCTAAAATTGTAGCTTTTTCACTATCTAAAGTAACTAATGGTGAAACAAATGGACCACCAAAGTTAACATAGAATAAAGATGTATTAAAATCAATAGTTTTCAAACCAGCAGCTCTAGCTTTTTCTGAATGTTCAATTTTACCATGTAACCAATTTGGTAATAATGAATGTACTTGTTCCATATTGAAACCAAATTGTGATGGGATATATAATTTAACATTTGAAGCAACAGCAGATTTAATAATATCTTCATTAGCACCATTTGGGAAACCAATTAAATTAATTAAAGCATCAACACCAGTTAAATGGGAATCTAATTTTTGATCTTTTATATTAATATATTCAACATTTGAAGATTCAATTGGTTTTTTATCTGAAGTAGTTAATAAACGAATTGGAGTTTTAATATTAGAAATGAAAGGTTCTGATAATAAACTGTTAATAACTGATTCACCTAAGAAACCGTTAACACCTAAAACTGCGATAGTAGCCATGATTTAAAATAATTGTATGTATGTGTGTGTGTATATCCTTTTAATACTGATAATGTATAAAGAATAAACACAATTGAAGGTAAAATAATGAAGAAACACCCCAGTTTATATACGTTTCCAATGTTTTTGGTTTCCAATCAATATTAGTGTATATTAACCGGTAGAATGAATTAGTTGATTTAACCGGCTGATTGGAAACCATAAAAAAGAAAAGTTTTATAAGCAATTTGGTTTTTTTTTTATGGTTTCCAATCAAAAAAGTTTTGGAAATTAAGCAATAAATAACACCATGTTTGTAATTTTGATTAGTTGATGATTTGTAAATGGGTTTATATCTGTTTGTAATATGAATTATTAATTGAAATTGTATTTGTAATATGTTGTTATTCATTTAGCATATGTACTATGAGATGAGCTGATTTATACGTTAGATGAGTAATAAATCATATTTGTAATCACACTGTGATATCAGTTTTGTATAAGTAACCAAATATATTCTACTACACAATATCAAATACTCGAATAGAATCATATACCTTGATTAAAAAGTTCAAAGATCATATTGCTCAATATTCAATGTCATCTGTGGTTATGGGTATTATAAAATACGGGTTCGGATTTTAGGTGTCACAATAATTTGGGCCTAATTCATGCAATTTCAAAGTAATCATATGCGCATATTCACATAAAGATAAAAGTTTCTAGAAGTCTGACTATAGTTATTTTTAGGTCTGTTGCTTTTGTGACACAAAAAATCTGTGTTTAAAAAGTATAATTTAACATCATTTCCCCTTTCATTTTTACTTTCTTGTTACACTACTGTATCTTTTATAGGATATTTTCATAGAATAGATACCATCAATAAATTCATTATGTCATTTGTATATACAAGTTCTCATCAGTTTATTGGTTAAATTCACTTACCCATTGATCAAACCATTTTAAATTACTTATTAAATCATCAGTACTTAATTGACTTGAATCACTTGGATAATTTAAACTTTGAAATTCATCAGTTGGTAATAAATCTGGAGTCATTGATATATTATTTGTTTTTGATTGATTTGTTATCTCTGGGTGTGAATTATTATTATTATTATCATGATCTTCATTAACTTTCCCAAATTGTAAAAACTTAATCTTGTTTACATTTTCTGAACCATGATCAATACCAATTTCTTTAAGTGATGTCATTGATTTTTCCATTCTTTTTAAAATTAAATGATTCAACATTTTTAAAGCCCATATACATTCTTTAACCATACCTATTTTTCCATTATCTTTTAAAAAATTTAAAAATTCCATAGC